TCAGAAAGGACGCCACAGAGCTGGAAAAAAGTACAGAAGAGAGGAACCAAAATGATTGGGGGGGTGGAGCCCCTTCCCTATGAGGAAAGGCTCATGAAGAGTCCGGGGCTTCTCAGGTTGGAAAAGGGACAACTGGTGGTGGTGGTGGGGGAGGCATGATAGAGGGTTATAAAATTATGCACGGCGTGGCGAGAGTTGACAAAGAGAAATTTTTCTCCCTTTACCAGGATACTAGACCTCGGGGGCATCCAGTGAAGCTGATAGGCAGTAGATTCAGGACAGACAAAAGGAACTACTTCATTACACAACAAGTGGTTAAAATGTGGGATTTGCTATCGGAGGATGTACTGATGGCCACAGATAAAGACAGCTTTAAAAGGAAATTAGACAGATTCGTGGAGGATAGGTCTATCGGTGGCTACTAGGTGATGGTGATTAAAGGGAACCTCCACATTCAGAGGCAGTCAACCTCTGAATCCCAGTGCCAGGAGGCAACATCAAGGGAAGGCCTCACCCTCTATGTCATGTTGGCCACTGGGTGAGACAGGATGCTGGACTAGATGGACTATCGGTCTGATCCAGCACAGCTCTTCTTATGTTCCTAAGACACTGGTCGCCAGTCCATTTCTTACCACGTGTCAACCTGAGGACCAAGTTTCCCCAGGTGTGTGGCGCAGCCATCGTTTGGCTGCAAGCAATGGTACTTGCATTGTCAGGGGTTCCGGGAGTTGTCAATCGAATTTCCTCTTGTGACGGGTACTTGCTTGAATTCTCACACTCTGAGGGATGTCAGCCCTGTCCTCTGAAGCACTAAGGCCGTGCGCTCTCAGTCTGGTGACATCTGCATTTCCTATTCGTGGCCCGTAACTACTGATCAGATTTCAGGGAACCCCCTTCCTCCTTTTCTGACACTGGTCTGCCATTGGGACTCTACCATGTTGCAGAGGAGCCTAGATCCCCGTTTCAGTTTGTGGGTTGCAAGAGCTGATCGCATCTGGGCCCGCCTTGCCCCATTTGAATGGAGAATGTGACCCGGCGCACACCCACGCTCGACTGCAGCTCCAGGTTGCCAGGAGCGATTGCTCGTGGTAGGCAAGCTTAAAGCTCGCCTGCTGTTTCGGTCTCAGTCAAGCTCCAGGGCCGCCCAGGACACAGCTTGAATCACATAGCCACCACATGTGATAAAAACATATGCCCAATTTTCTATGTGGAGGGAGTTTTCTAGGACCATTCAGGTCTGTGAATCCCCACTTGCGGTCTGAAGTGGTACAGTCCAGACCTAGGTTTTCTTCTTTGGTGAGCCGTAGAGAAATGGTCAGATTCCGTTTCTACAGTTGTAGTTGCAGGAGGTTTCACTGCCTTCTCTTTCGTCTTAGGTAGGCTGCACGATTTGTGTCTTTTTGCTAGAGACTTGCATAGGATGAATGCGTTTGCAGCGGCTGAGGTGAGTACAACAGATGTTACATGATGTATTTGAAGTGACACATTACTCGACTTGTTGAATATGTAAGCGTGTTCTTTGCATCGTCAAAGATCCTTGGAATAGTCTGAAACACCTATAGGAGAGTATTGGGCCTAATTTATATGTGGTGTTGGTGTGGGAAGTCCCCTTGTTATCTGGGGACTTACCTGGTTCAGAACTTGTGGATGGGACCTGGAAGCTAAAGAGATTGTACCATAATGGCCATGTAAGTTGTGCTTGAATCCTGGTTCATCTGGGATGTGCTTCTGGCAGTCCCAGTGGGTGAAGCTTGCTGCTTCCCTGGAGTCTGCACTCCCACGGGTTTTGGTCTGCCCTATTAGCAAGTGAAAACTGTCCTTAATCCAGTGGGGAGCTGTTGACGAGATTGCAGAGCACTGATGAGACCGCAGATACTGCTTCTAAGTCCTCCCTTCTTAGCAGAGGAGGAGAAGAGGAATGCTCCACCGGCTCTTATTTCTGTCCTAGTTTTAGGATTGCTACAAAGCGAGGATTGTTATGTCATTGGGGAAGCCTCTTGCGCAGGCCCGTAGCCAGGATTGTTTGGCTTGTGGGGCAAATTTTTGGGGGATGGGGCTGCCATTATTTTTATGTCAGCTTCAGTCCACCCCCAAGCCTGACCGCCGGCAGCCACTCTCCCTCCCCTCTTGCAAGATTTAAAGGGCCCTTCAGCTGATTGGCCCGCCGATTGGCTGGAGGGTCCTCCAAAACTTGCAGGAGGGAGAGGGCCGTGCGCCATCCCCGCTTCTTCTTAAAAGCATTTAAATGATCCCTTTAAATGCTT